CAGAGGAACTCCCTCTAGGCTTAGTTCAAAGTTACAAAAAACAGGAATAAACCTCCCTCTTGCAAAGGGAAAATTCACAAGCTAAAACAAAAGATAATCTAACACGCCTTGCCTGGCTTTACTTACTATTTTTGTCATATTAGAGACTGGTTCAGGATTGGTTTATAGGAGAAGGATTTTTCTGACCTGCTGTTTCTCTGCTTCCCAAGAGAACCCACTCAAAACAAAGCCTTCCCGTCCCCAAGATTTGAAAGTATCTTCTTTCCCCATTGGTCCTTTTGGTCAGGTGCCAACCAGGTTATTTGAGCTTCTTAACCCCTTACAGATAAGGAGGAATTCTAGGCTACCCTTAGCTGTATGGTTATAACAAGGACTAAGACCCGTTCACCCATTCCGAGCAGAAATAGCCCTTTCCACAATTGAAAACTGTTATACAGCGTTGCTGGCACAGAATGGCTATTGCATTCTATCTCAGAGGTGGTTCAATTTATGGTGTGTGTGTGATCCCTGTTTGTATGTGGTTCATAAAGTACTTAAGAGCCTTCTAGATGAAAGGTATAGTATAAATGGAAGGGACAGTTAGTAATGTATTAATGACGTTTGGCGAGTTCAAATTTGCTGCATGCATTCCTCGTACATTTATTTTATTTTATAAAATAACCTTTTACTCAGGAAAGCTCACCTCTAGTGCAGCATCAGGATTTCCCTGAGGTTTCTGTTCTTTACTCTATTTTCATTTGGGCTGATTGAGGCAAAAAAGAGGTCAAGTGACTTGCTCAAGGTCGCAGACAGTCAACGAGTTATAATGAAATGTTTTCTTAAAGCTATGTTTGCCTTGTAATCATATGTTTATTCTACAGGGCTTTACGTTGTTAGATTTTTTTTTTTTTTACCCTAGCAATTTCAAGGAACTTAAACTATGCTGCCGCTCTTGTTTTTGGTGAAATTGATCAGCAATATTCAGGGTAAAAGGAGGTTTTTTTGGCAGGCCTCTATAAAACATTGCAACACTAGACTTCACAAATGTGATGAGTCCTTTTAAGGCCATCATACCGTTGTATCTTAAAGACCATAGTATTGCTAGTAGCTTAGTGCAAGAGATATTAGCAGTATTGCCAACTCCACGCATTCAAAAATCATGAGGTTTCCCCTGCCCCAAATCATGAGATTGCCCTAAAAATCTTTGATTTTTAAAACTCCAAATTTATTATTTTTATATTTGTCATCTGGTTTTTGAGCCTTTAAGATTAATGTTTTCCAGCTTCTCTCCCCCCCACCCCCGAAACAATGAGACTTAGAGACTTTAAAAAAAAAAAAATTGGATTGCATGACTCCAGGTGCTTGGACTTAAGAAAACCTCCAAATACCATAAGACTCACAATAAAACTGAAAGAGTTGGCAATACTGTATTACGGTGAATACTTACCCTAGCCTATGTGCTTCTCTGACTGGTACAGTCTCCCAAAAAAGTACGATATACAATGCAATGCATCCCTGAAATGGGAGAATGTAGTGGGCACACAAAAAATGACATTGCAAAAGCAAAGAAGGACTTGCAAAATGCTAAGCTTAGTGGAGAGATTGGAAGCACTAAAAAACCTGATAATAAGGAAACTCAGATGATAATCCTGAATTATACCAACAAAACTGTCTCACTCAGAATTGGTGCATACTCCTCTTAAGTGCATACTGCTAGCAAAGCCCAAACACTATGCAGATATTTATTTATTCTAAATTTTTTTAAAAAAATAGAATTCTAGTGCTCAGAAGCAGAATATCCTGTACCACCTCCTTGCTTCCCCCACAAATATACTGATTTCTGCCCTAATGGTATGTGCTATGTTGATGTCTCCTTGCTAGAGCCCTCTGGGTAAATAATTCAGTGGCTTCTGTTGAACCTCAGTTTACATGATTAAGTCCTACTGCTACACCTCTTGCTGTTCTCAACAGAGATTCTTTTAGTAACACATCCTAATCATTATGGCAGTTCCAGACCGGTTCCCCTTTACCTCACTCCTTTTCCTTTCGGACACCAGTTCAAAGAGAATCCTGCTAGAATTTGACTTCTAGAACTCGACTTGTAGCTGTGACACTGCAGTTTTCTGAGAGGAGACTCTCCACTTTAATATGTTGCATATTTTTTCCAATGTTTACATTTTAAGACATTACATTGGGCAAACATGAAATCATACACTTTGGAGCCAAATTCTACTCTCTGTTACATATGTGCAATCCCACTGAAAACACGAGTATAACAATTGTCCCAAGTGTAAGAGTAGAATTTGTCCTGCTTCGGTGTCTTCACAAGGGAAACACTGCAGATGATTCTAGGGTTAATTATGCTCTTCTCATATGTTTAAACAGTTTAAAGCTAAGTAAAATTTGTTTAAATCTAGGTTAAACCGTAAGCACAAGTTCTTCCATTGTCTATTTGCCACTGTTTATGAGATTTAATACAATCAGCAATGGTTTAAAAACAAAACAAAAAAAAACCCAACCCAAACCAGAAACAATAAATAAATGAAGTGGGACTATTATTATGTCAGCAGAAAAGGGATTGTAAACATTTCCACCAAGAGCAATTTGTATACTCAGCAGAAATATTAACAAAAAGCTAACAACATCCATCCCCTCCAAACCTATTTACCTTCTAGATACATGCCTAATTTATATCTCAGGACTGAGAGAGAAGATATTTCTTGTTAGAAATGTTTTAAGACTAGGAACACATTAAACTGTATTAAGCTATTAATAGTATTATGGGTTCTTTATATAACACTGTCAATCTAAACAAGCCTTACAAACATAGAGTAGGATGTTTGATTTGAACAAACATTCATGGACGCAGATTTTTTTTCTTTTCTTTTTTAGAGACAAAATTACACTTAGGTAATTACAGTATTACAGTGACACCTTTTCTCTCCCCATATGCCATTTAAATAATAATTGAAGGAACCATAATATATCAATTAGAAAATGTGTTCTAAAATGGGCCTAAATTCTGCCCTCAGTTACATTCAAACAACCCCATTGATTTCAGTGTATGTGCAGGGGTGTAAGTGAGAATAGAAAATTGATCTACTTTATTCTGCATTTTTTTCAGCACTGCACAACACAACAACAAGAAGCAAAGCTAACCAGCTGTGCCTCGACAAGTCAAGTGCAAAGTGAAGGTAATGGCTGACATGCTAATGTCCTGGCTGTGGCCAAATTTTTGCCAGAGTAACGAGGAAACATAATTTTGGAAAAGAGTGGAATTTAGGGGGAAAGAGGGGAGAATCTAAAATTGTTTTTTATTTATTCTCTCCCATGTATACACAAACAAGATTTTTTGGTTTTGGAGGTTCCTAGTAAGTATAAAAAAATACGATTTTTGATATTAAAATAGCTTCCGATCTTGCAGTCCTTACCCAGGCAAAGCTCCTGTTGAAGTCAACACAAGTTCTGTCTGAGTAAGGACTGCAGGATCAAACTATAAAGCAGTGTAACCCCTCCATAAGAGTATTCATTCAAAGCAGATGGGAGGAAGCCAAGTCAAATGCATTGATGCATCTACTGGCTAGTGTGGCAACTAGTATCTAGCAACTAGCTAGAACTCTATTAGCTATAAAAGTTAAAAGAAAATGTAGATTTTTGTATATATCTAGTATCATTTGTGGTTATCAAAATGATTTCCAGATGTTTCCTTTCTTACACCAGAGGTTGTAGGACAACCCTCCCCCCCTCTAATATTGTAAATTACAGGCAAGCTATCTAAAAGGATTGAAGGCAATCTCAGGCTGAAGAAGAGAATGCTGTATAATCTTAGAGAATTCATGAATTTTACTTTTTATGTATCTGAGCACTCGATACAAACATAATTCTGTTACCTCTCTATTATATTTTTAAACAGCTGTACAAACATTACAGTGCTTGTGTGCACGTGTTTAGTAGTAGTAAGAATGGAGATGAACCCTAAAAAGAGATGATTTTGATATGATTTTGATATTTGGCAAGGAGGACTAGCAGAATGCTGCACCACTCCCAAATAGAACAGCAGAAATACTTCTCTCAAACATATGAAAATAATATTTCATACACACAAAAGGAATCACTGAGGGTATAATATATAGGGGCTGTGTGATTCCTGGTTAATAATAAGAAAAGGTGAGGAAGGGAGGGAGAAGGGACAAGACTATAAAGCAGACCCATAGTTCCCCCTAAGAAATACCCAAGACCCTTTGTTTTTGGTTTTTATTCTGTTTAGTATTTCCTGGACACTTCAGTGTTTATTACAAAAATTTTAAAATGGGTGAAAATCACTACAAAAAAATTAACTGTACTGTTTTCTGGGTAAATATAGGGGTTAATATGGGAGATGGGAGGGCAGAAAAAAAGCACCAACTAAAGAAAAGGAAGAGTATTTAATGTAAAAGTAGTGTAAGCAAAGTACATTAACAGTGCCTACACAATATACAGGCACAGGCATGTGTGGGCATCTTCTACAACACTGCCTTACTTTAAACAGCCTCCCATATACACTTAGACTCATTTATTAACAGAAACACTCTTCCTGATGTAATGTCTTAGATTTTCTTAACAGAATCAGTATTTTCACTTACTGGAGGGGTCCAAAATTCGGGTAAAATGGGTAAAACCCGAACAACAGCATTTGTAAACCCCGAGAATTTTTCAGCAAAAATGGGCAAAACCTGCACAGGAAGGAGGGCCTTAGAGCTCCCTGACCCCCCCGAGTCAATACTGCTGCTCTGCTGTAGTGCTCCTGCTGTGAGGGGCATGAAAGACCTGGGGGCGGGGGGGAAGATAGACAGAAATCTTGTCATTGCGCCCTTGCTTTGCAAGCGGCGCTGGAAAGTCAGGCACGGGGCACGATCAGCCGCCCCCCGCACAAAGTTATTTCTGGGCTGGGGGCCGGGGTGCGAGGATCCCCGGGGCGAGCCCCCGGACACAGAGCAGAGGGGGAACCCAAGCCCCTGGCGGCGCGCCCCGCCCCCGCTGACCTGCCAGGCTGGTGTAACAATCAATCTCGATGCTCTCCGCGCTCTGGCTCTGCTCCGCGCTGAGCGCGGCGCCCGGGCTGGCGGCGCAGCCGGCGGAGGAGCCGGGCTCCGGCGGCGGCAGCCCCTTCAGCTCCAGCAGCGCCCGGTGGTACTTGCCGATGGCCTCGCGGAATTTCTTGTCCTTGTAGCACTGCGCCCCTTGGCTCTTGAACGCCAGGGCTCGCTGGAGCAGCTCGCCGGGCTCCGCACCAGCCTGGGCTCCCGCGGCGCAGCGCTCTGCAGCCGGGCTCCGCCGCTCCATCCCCGCCGCCCCCGCCGCCGCCGGGCGGGAAATGGGCTTCAAGCCTCCGAGCAGCCGAACGCCCCAGCGCCGCGCTGCGCCGCGCCGCCTCCCGCTCCCATCCTCCAGCTGCCGGGCGCTGCTCCCCCGCCCGCGCCCTGCGGCCCGGCTGCTGCTGCCGCCTCCCCCGCGCACGGGGAGAGCGAGCCCCGGCTAACCCGGAAGGAGCCCGCACCGCCGAGCCAGGCAGGAGTGTTAGACCTCCTTTTGCTTGGTCAGATATGATATTTGCATGATGTATCAGGTAGAAATGAGACTGGGTGTGTGTGTGAATGTATTGCTAACCCTAAGCATCCAAAAATCCCAGTACTTCCCTTGAAACATCTTCAAGAGGCCTGACTTGCAGAGGCAGGTGTTGAGCACTTTCTGTTGTCTCAGATTAGGCATTCCATAATTGATTTTAAAAATACTCTATGATTTAGAAATCAGAGGTGGAGGGCCTGTTTTTATGTAATTTGGAAACTGGAGATGGACAGTGTGTGTCTTAATCAAAGAAGTTAGAGGTGAAATGTGTGTGTGAAAAACACAAATTAAGGATGGAAAATTCCTGTTGGGTCACATTTAGCCATCCAGTGGCAATACTGTCCAATGTCAATTCAAATTACTCAAGCAATCTCCTTTTAGATACATTTGATTGTAGTTTGATTTAACACAATCCAGTGTATGCCACTGAATTTAGAATATTTACTTTGCCTGGGGAAAGGAGAAGATAGTCCTAGCATGTCAACCACACTTTGCAATAGGTGTTGAACACCTCGGACACAGTCCGCACCAGCAAGACAGCCATTTCCAACAATGTTCGAGGGAAGAAAGGCTATGTATGACACACTTTGTCAAACACAGCAGGATTTACTAGTATAGGAAAAGCTAGATGGAAAAGAACATAAGAGTGGCCATACTGGGTCAGACCAAATGTCCATCTAGACCAGTATCCTGTCTTTCAACAGTGGCCAGTGCCAGGTGCACCAGAGGGAATGAACAGAACAGGCAATTATCAAGAGATCCATCCCCTCTCACCCATTCCCAGCTTCTGGCAAACAGAGGCTAGAGACACCATCCCTGCCCATCCTGGCTAATAGCATTGATGGACCTATCCTCCATGAACTTATCTACTGGTAGTTCTTTTTTGAACCCTGTTATAGTCTTCACAACATCCTCTGGCAAAGAGTTCCACAGACTGACTGTGCGTTGTGTGAAAAAATACTTCCTTTTGTTTGTTTTAAACCTGCTGCCTATTAATTTCATTGGGTGACCCCTAGTTCTTGTGTTATGAGAAGGAGTAAATAACACTTCCTTCTTTACTTTCTCCACACCGGTCATGATTTTATAAACCTCAATCATATCACTCCTTAGTCATCTCTTTTCCAAGCTGAAAAGTCCCAGTCTTATTAATCTCTCCTAATATGGAAGCCATTCCATACCCCTAATCATTTTTGTTGCCCTTTTCTGAACCTTTTCCAATTCCAATATATCTTTTATGAGATGGGGCAACCACATCTGCACACAGTATTTAAGATATGGATTTATATAGGGGCAATATGGTATTTTCTGTCTTATTATCTATCCCTTTCTTAATGATTCCCAACATTCTGTTTGCTTTTTTGACTGCTGCTGCACACTGAGTGGATGTTTTCAGAGAACCATCCACAATGACTCCAAGCTCTCTTTCTTGAGTGGTAACAGCTAATTTAGACCCCATCATTTTATATGTATATTTGGAATTAAGTTTTCCAGTGTGCATTACTTTGATTTATCAACATTGAATTTCATCTCCCGTTTTGTTGCCCAGTCACCCAGTTTTGAGAGAGCCTTTTGCAGCTCTTCACAGTCTGCCTGGGACTTAACTATCTTGAGAAGTTCTGAATCATCTGCAAATTTTGCCACCTCACTGTTTACTGCTTTTTCCAGATCATGTATGAATATGTTGAATAGGACTGGTTTCTGAGTTGAATAGGACTGTTCCCAGTACAGACCCAGGGGGACACCATTATTTACCCCTCTCTATTCTGAAAATTGACCATTTATTTCTTCCCTTTGTTTCCTATCTTTTAATCAGTTACCAATCCATGACAGGACCCTCCCTCTTATCCAATGATAGCTTACTTTGCTTAAGAGCCTTTGGTGAGGGACCTTGTCAAAGGCTTTCTGAAAATCTAAGTACACTATATCCACTGGATCCCCCTTGTCCAAATGCTTGTTGACCCCCTCAAAGAATTCTAGTAGATTGGTGAGGCATGATTTCCCTTTACAAGAAACATGTTGACTCTTCCTCAACAAATTATGCTCATCTATGTGTCTGACAATTTTGTTCTCTACTATAGTTTCAACCAATTTGCCAGTAAAGCCAGGAAAGGAGGATAAAGTGGAAGGGAAGACCCTAGAAACATTTAAAATATATCAATTCAAGACACTAGCATGTCAGCATTCATAACATTATCAATGTTTGTATCCCAGGAGGGTAGATCAGTTATGCTCAACAGTTATTCTGTATCACAACCAAAATAACGACCATACATCCTCTAAGCCCCCCAGTTTGTTGGGTCTTTTATAAACCACTCTCCCCAGAGGCACTAGCTTGGACATACTACTGCTCTGTCCATAGAGCTATTAATGCTTTCCAGAATTGTGATACCATGTTTCTTGACATTAAAGTAGCCTATAGGCATCAGCTCTTTGCTGATCCTGTGAATCTGTATGATTTAGGTGTTTCTCCTGATAAAAGAGAAATAGTTGAAAATGGAATAGTAACTTGAAAAGTAATTTGCATGTGTGTCCTCCCAGAACCCATTAGTAAACAGATGCATCCCCAGATCACATACCAAAGAAAACAGGGTCTGACATCTTTGACAAGAATCAATATTTTTAATCCCAACCTTGTGCAGAGGCAGAGACATTGTCTTTCAATGTGGTTGTACAGCATCTAGCACAATGGTGTCCCAATTTCTATTGGGGCCTTTGGGTGTTAATGTAAATTCTAAATAAGATGAGTCAGTGGCAAATTTCTAATGAGTAGAACTGGTAGAAATTTCTGGCACAAAAAATGTTATTGTCAAAAATTACCTTTGTTTGAAAACAAAACTTTTAATGAAAAACTGTCAACTTTTATTTTGACATTTTTCCAACTTTTGCAAAAAAACCCACAGCATTTAAATTGATATCTTAAATTTAAATAATCATTTATTGAAAACCAGTAAATAATTTCAATGGTGATTGTGAAAACCATTCTGATAAAAATTTTAGTGGAAAATATCGTGGAAAATTTCATGAAAAATGGAAAATCTGAAACCCATAAAAAGGAAACCACTTCCAAGTGTCCATTTTTTTAATTGACTTGGTTTCAGGATTTTTGACCAGCTGTACTAATGAGGATCTTTTAAGGCAGATTCAATACCACTGACCAGAGGATATTAGAGGATATTTTTACTTTGAAACCTGTGCCTAATGAATGGCCCTAAATGATTCTAACTTGGCCTCATGGAAGACTGAAGAAAGGTATAGATGTCTGAGGTTTGTCTCATAAAGGACCCCGTTTCCTTAAGAAGTGTTAATAGAGAGGTGGCTGCTGTCAAGGCTGGTCCAAAAGAAGCTAGTAGCATGGCCACAGATATTGCCAAAACCAGGGCTTCTGAAAATTATTGATATACTAAGATCTGTAAAAGATCTGAAGGATGTCTCTTCCATTGCCATGACCCCTACAAGAAAATATGGGTTATCTTAGAATATTGCCTCAGCATGCAATAGAGATTTACATTTTTGAGTTCTACCAGATTGGTCCAAATTCTCCTAATATCATAAATTGCTGATCAGTACAATATGGAGTCACTATATATGGCAAGAGAAGTGTCTGAATGATTTTCCATTCTATGGGCACCTTAAGCTGGATATGGAGTGCAATACCGTATGCCCCAATGTGAAAGCTTCCTAATATGCCTCTGGGCTAGAGACACTAAATCTGCTATTAGATATGTATAGGGCAATTTAGCAAAGGACAATTTGGCTCTTGACTCTCTCCCTCTAGAAATGAGCTAAATATTCTGTTGATTTTTAGTAAAATATTTAGGGAAGATAAAACATGTGAAATGGATAAGGCTCTTTGTTTTCAGTTTTTATGGATTTTTACTGAAAAATTCCTTAGTTTTACAAAAGCTATATTTTGTTTTTCACTGATTTGCACCTGAATTTTGGACTAGTCAAATACTTGAAAATACTGATTATGTTAAGAAAATCCAATACATTATATTAATTAGTTTAAATGTTAATAAGAGGCAGTTTGTTAAAGTAAAGCAATGTAGTGGAATATACGCACACATGCATCCACCTGCATATGTGTACTTACCATTAAGGTACAGTTCGTTAGATAAACCACAGCAGTAAATTGTTTTTACTTTCAATACTCTTACATTTCTCTATTTGTTGCTTTTTTCTATCCTCCCACCCCCCAGTATTAACCCTGATATTTACCCAGAAAACTGCGAAGTTAATTTTTTGCATAGATTTTCACCTGTTTTCAAATTTTTGCAATAAACACTGATAAGTTCCCAGGAAACTGGAAATAAAATAAAAACTGAAGACAAAGGGTCTTGGGAAATGTTGGCTGTAGAAACACTATGGCAGAACATTAATGTTAAAGACAGTGTATATGGCTTCTATTGAAAAATGTGAGAGCCTGTCACCTTCTCAAATCAGAAAAGATTTATTTATGGGTGCTGACTTGGTATCCAGATCTGTAGGTGTTTCAGCTGTATGAGGGTCCAGCAGAAATTCCAGGGATCAAAATTAGATTTCTCACAAGCTTATAAGACTAGCCACAGCTGTGATTTTATCCAGTTTATTTCAAAACCTGACAGAAGTCAAAAGCATCACCAAGATATTGGGCTGATACTCTGAGCTAAGAAACAAAGTACCATTCACATCAATTAACATTAATTCCTATCTTTAATGCCACCACAGTGCCCTGGTGCAGTCTAATGTTGGCTGTTGAGTCTGTCTCTTCATTTGTGAGTAATTTTTCTATCTGTCTCTGTATCAGCCTAGGTGTGTCTTCCTGCTTGTCTGGTTGCCCCTGGGTGTGCCTGTCTTTCCTCCTTCAGATTGAATTTTCCTTAGCACATGACAAAAAGTATACATTTGCATTGCTCACTTACAAAGCTATGTATGTGGAGCTCTGGGTCACATGCACGGTAATGTTATTTTGGGATCTCCTTTTATTGTATTTTAATGTTCTACTCTCACAATTTACCTGAACAAATTAACTTCTTTTTAACAAAGAGTCATAACATTTTGAACTGTTGACAGTTGGGAAGTATGCTGCTAGGTAAAACTCTTGAAATAATTTGAAAGATATTGAAGAAATATTAGTGATGTATCTTCAGTCATCCTTCTGTCTATGATTGTATCTTTCTCTCTTTCTAGACTGTATGATTATTAATATAGTCAGAAATAGCATAGATGTTAAATTTCAGAACATGCTTCAAAAGTATTTGAAAGGGCTTCTGAGGAGGGTTGCGGATATGGGCCTTTGAATGAGGTTTGGTGCTGTGATTTCCAGCTGGAGGTGGATTTTTCTGAGTGTATGTACATTTTTAAAATGGAAATTTTTATGAATGCAGCATATATCCTGTGTTCTCAATCCTGCATTTGTGGTGCACTCAGAATTCATTAAAACAACAAGGAGTCCAGTGGCACCGTAAAGACTAACAGGTTTATTTGGGCATAAGCTTTTGTGGGTAAAACTTTGTCCTCACCCACAACCATTTCAGATTTGGGGACAATTTATACCTTCAAGTCAGCGGTACTGCTATGGGTACCCGCATGGCCCCGCAATATGCCAACATTTTTATGGCTGACTTAGAACAACGCTTCCTCAGCTCTCGACCCCTAGCGCCCCTCCTTTACTTGCGCTACATTGATGACATCTTCATCGTATGGACCCATGGGAAGGAGGTCCTTGAAGAATTCCACCTGGATTTCAACAGTTTCCACCCCACCATCAACCTCAGCCTAGACCAGTTCATACAAGAGATCCACTTCCTGGACACTACAGTACAAATAAGTGATGGTCACATAAACACCACCCTATACCGGAAACCTACTGACCGCTATACTTACTTACATGCCTCCAGCTTACATCCAGGACACATCACACGATCCATTGTCTACAGTCAAGCCCTAAGATACAACCGAATTTGCTCCAATTCGTGAGACACAGACAAACACATACAAGATCTTTATCAAGCATTCTTAAAACTATAGTACTCCCTGGAGAAGTGAGGAAACAGATTGACAGAGTGAGATGGGTACCCAGAAGTCACCTACTACAGGACAGGCCCAACAAGGAAAATAACAGAATACCACTGGCCATCACATACAGCCCCCAGCTAAAACCTCTCCAGCACATCATCAATGATCTACACCTATCCTGGAAAACGATCGCTCACTCTCACAGACCTTGGGAGGCAGGCCAGTCCTCGCTTACAGACAGCCCCCTAAACCTGAAGCAAATACTCACCAGCAACTACACACCACACCACAGAAACACTAACCCAGGAACCAATCCCTGTAACAAACCTCGTTGCCTACTCTGTCCCCATATCTACTCCAGTGACACCATCAGAGGACCCAACCACATCAGCCACACCATCAGGGACTCATTCACCTGCACATCTGCTAATATGATATATGCCATCATGTGCCAGCAATGCCGCTCTGCCATGTACATTGGCCAAACTGGACAGTCTGTACGTAAAAGAATAAATGGACACAAATCGGACATCAGGAATGCCAGTAGGAGAACACTTCAATCTTCCTGGACATTCTATAACAGATTTAGAAGTAGCCATACTTGAACAAAAAAACTTCAGAAACAGACTTCAAAGAGAAACTGCAGAACTAAAATTCATTTGCAAATTTAATACCATTAATTTGGGCTTGAATAGGGACTGGGTGTGGCTGGCTCACTACAAAAGCAAATTTGCCTCTCCCGGAATTGACACCTCCTCCTTAGTTATTGGGAGTGAACTACATCGACCCTGATTGTATTGGCCTTGTCAACACTGATTCTCCACTTGTGAGATAACTCCCTTCTCTTCATGTGTCAGTATAATAATGCCTGCATTTTTAATTTTCACTCCATGCATCTGAAGAAGTGGGTTTTACCCACAAAAGCTTATGCCCAAATAAATCTGTTAGTCTTTAAGGTGCCACTGGACTCCTTGTTGTTTTTGTGGATACAGACTAACACGGCTACCCCCTGATACTCAAAATTCATTGATTTCGAGGGGAGTGTTGGGTGCGTGTGGAAGCGTATGACTGCGCACTTTATGAATAATCATAGAGGCAAACCAGAAGTCGTGCCTCTCTCCAAGTGGGCCAAGAGTGATTGTAATTGAAGTGATGCCAAGCCCTCTAAACTGGGAGAACGGCATCCCTGCCCAGCTTACGCATAAGGATAGAAGATCCCCAAGTTGCATCTGAATTCCAGCATACTCAGCTGCTGCTACAGCTACAATCTGTCACCAGTCTATTAAGTCATCCATTACTTATTTCCGAATCTTTCATCTAGGTCTGCACCTCACATTACCTTCCCCTCTCCCCACAAAAAGGAAAAGGAAGAGGTGGAATTTGTGATCAAGGCACGAGACAGGCTTGAGGAACTAAAAGCAGAGAAGCCTCTCTGAAATCCCTGGTCTGCATCTTACTTGTGTGTGGTTGTAATTGGGGAAGGAGAGGGAACAAAGGTGAAATCAGAAGCAGGAAGCATTACCACATTTAATACAAAATCATTTTATTTTTCAAGATAATTTTTTTCAACGGGTGGTTTCTGATAACATGCAAGATTTATTTGACTGCGGACCAATGAGCAAACAAACTTCAGCCTATGATGTGTTTGCAAATTGTTCACTTTGAACATTCATTATTTGTGTTTATGGTTGGTTATTAGGTCATGTATTTGTATGACAGCCATTCCACAAATGTTTGTGTGACCAAAATCTTATTCACAGAAATGTTTGTCAATCAAGAATAATAAGAGATGCATGGACAAACAAAACAGCTGTTCAGAATTCAAATGAATGCTCCCAAATACTGGTTTTACAATATTTGATCAATTTCTTTCTTTCTCAAAAATGATGGCAAAGTGCTAAACACTGTACTTAACTGTGAAGACTAACGGAGCAACAACAGGCTAACACAGAGGCAGTTGATTAAGCTTACAGTTTTTCTCTTTGGCACTTTTAATTAAAATCAGTGCTTGCTTCAGCAGAAAGAGTCAGTCAAACCGGAGGAGGAATGGAGTGCTGACAGATGAAGTTTGACAAATGCTTGTACTCTCTTCTTCAAGACCTGTTGTTGACACTGTCACCGCAGCCTGCAGATGGACTATCTGTCTAACCAACTCTGTATTCTGGGTAGGATCTTGCACTTTATCCAGACTGAGCATGAAGAGGGGACCGTGATAATTGCTCTGCAGTGTGTGAAAAGAGTAAGTTAAGAAAATCACCCTTCCTACCAGACACATTCAAGACTTGCAAAATCGGCACTTTTGTTTCTTTCAGATCCTGTGTTGTTGTTATCACCATCATCTGTGTGTAAATGGTCGGGAACCTGAATTAGTGGACAAAATTAAAATGATCCCAAGATTGAGCAATCTTTATCAGTAACCACAGGTCTTGCATTGTTGACAGTCAGTACAAAACTAATGCCAGTGAGGTATGTGAAATCAATTTGTATACACTTGTACCCCTTGGCACTTACTTTGTGATTTACATTTTCACAGCATTATAACCAATTAATCCTCATAACTCCACTGTGGAATAGGTAGGTAAGTACCATTATCCCCAGGAACAAGTACCAAATCTATTTTTTTCTCAGTAGTACTGACCTCAGATCTTTTTATTCAGCTGTAATCTTGGTTATTGGTGGGGGTGGGCCCAAGTCATCCAAACAGCTGTGAACTCGGGGAAAGTTTTGTTGCTCAGCCCTATCTCTGTTTATGAAATGAAAAATGAAACGTGGGAACAAATTTGAGAGCTTGTGCTTCTAACTACTTGATTTGGGCCACAGTCAGGTAGTGAAAGGCACAGCTATTCAGATATGAACACACAGTTGATCTGTAGCTGCAAACTAGGAGCACTGATTTTTACAGAGAAAATCATACCTGCCAATAGAAAAGAAGTACTTGTGGCACCTTAGAGACTAACCAATTTATTTGAGCATAAGCTTTCGTGAGCTACAGCTCACTTCATCGGATGCATACTGTGGAAACTGCAGAAGACATTATATACACAGAGACCATAAAACAATACCTCCTCCCACCCCACTCTCCTGCTGGTAATAGCCCATCCAAAGTGACCACTCTCTTTACAATGTGTATGATAATCAAGGTGGGCCATTTCCAGCACAAATCCAGGTTTTCTCACCCTCCCCCCCCTTTTTTTCCAAAAACCACACACACAAAGTCACTCTCCTGCTGGTAATAGCTTATCCAAAGTGACCACTCTCCTTACAATGTGTATGAAAATCAAGGTGGGCCATTTCCAGCACAAATCCAGGTTTTCTCACACACACACCCCCACACACACACACACAAACTCACTCTCCTGCTGGTAATAGCTCATCCAAACTGACCACTCTCCTTACAATGTGTATGATAATCAAGGTGGGCCATTTCCAGCATAAATCCAAGTTTAACCAGAACGTCTGGGGGGGGGGGTAGGAAAAAACAAGGGGAAATAGGCTACCTTGCATAATGACTTAGCCACTTCCAGTCTCTATTTAAGCCTAAATTAATAGTATCCAATTTGCAAATGAATTCCAATTCAGCAGTTTCTCGCTGGAGTCTGGATTTGAAGTTTTTTTGTTTTAAGATAACAACCTTCATGTCTGTAATTGCGTGACCGGAGAGATTGAAGTGTTCTCCGACTGGTTTATGAATGTTATAATTCTTGACATCTGATTTGTGTCCATTTATTCTTTTACGTAGAGACTGTCCAGTTTGACCAATGTACATGGCAGAGGGGCATTGCTGGCACATGATGGCATATATCACATTGGTGGATGTGCAGGTGAACGAGCCTCTGATAGTGTGGCTGATGTTATTAGGCCCTGTGATGGTGTCCCCTGAATAGATATGTGGGCACAGTTGGCAACGGGCTTTGTTGCAAGGATAAGTTCCTGGGTTAGTGGTTCTGTTGTGTGGTATGTGGTTGTTGGTGAGTATTTGCTTCAGGTTGCGGGGCTGTCTGTAGGCAAGGACTGGCCTGTCTCCCAAGATTTGTGAGGGTGTTGGGTCATCCTTCAGGATAGGTTGTAGATCCTTAATAATGCATTGGAGGGGTTTTAGTTGGGGGGCTGAAGGTGACGACTAGTGGCGTTCTGTTATTTTCTTTGCTAGGCCTGTCCTGTAGTAGGTGACTTCTGGGAACTCTTCTGGCTCTATCAATCTGTTTCTTCACTTCAGCAGGTGGGTATTGTAGTTGTAAGAATGCTTGATAGAGATCTTGTAGGTGTTTGTCTCTGTCTGAGGAGTTGGAGCAAATGCGGTTGTATCGCAGAGCTTGGCTGTAGACGATGGATCGTGTGGTGTGGTCAGGGTGAAAGCTGGAGGCATGTAGGTAGGAATAGCGGTCAGTAGGTTTCCGGTATAGGGTGGTGTTTATGTGACCCATGGAAAAGAAGCCCTTGAGGAATTCCACCATGATTTCAACAATTTCCATCCCACCATCAACCTCAGCCTGGTCCAATCCACACAAGAGATCCACTTCCTGGACACTACAGTGCTAATAAACAATGGTCACATAAACACCACCCTATACCGGAAACCCTGACCACACCACACGATCCATCGTCTACAGCCTAGCAGGAGAGTGAGTTTGTGGGGGGTAGGGGGGGAGAAAACCTGGATTTGTGCTGGAAATGGCCCACCTTGATTTTCATACACATTGTAAGGAGAGTGATCACTTTAGATAAGCTATTACCAGCAGGAGAGTGGGGTGGGAGGAGGTATTGTTTCATGGTCTCTGTGTATATAATGTCTTCTGCAGTTTCCACAGTATGCATCTGATGAAGTGAGCTGTAGCTCACGAAAGCTTGTGCTCAAATAAATTGGTTAGTCTCTAAGGTGCCACAAGTACTCCTTTTCTTTTTGCGAATACAGACTAACACGGCTGTTACTCTGATACCTGCCAATGAAGATCTCTGAGGCAAGGCAAAAGCCTCTGTGAAGTTACTGGTTCATCACCTCTAGCTTGCTGGCCTCATATGACGGCCAAGAGTTATGTAAGTTCTTTAGCTCATGACATCTGTCTTGCTAGGCTGATGTCAAGGGGCAGGTCTCTGTGAAATCACTAGTTTAGCACTAACTTTAGCATGCTTGGCTGATACCACGATACAGGACTAACAGAGGGTTACTAATGCAACAGCCATATCTTGCTGGGCTGATGTCAAGAGGCAGGCCTCTATTGTGATTTTGTCAGATCTCACAAGCTACTGCAAATGGGTTAGGGATTGGATGAGAGACCTCCTGGGAAAAGACAAGCTATTTCAGGAAGTATTGCTGGTGATTCAGAATATGGCACTCTTTCCTTAAAGCCAGTACTAAACCAACGCTTCAGCAGGATGAGAGGGAGGCTGTGCAGCTAGAGGTGCCATCTCTTGGAAGAGAGATCAGACTGAGACTATGTCTACACTAGAGACCTTACAGCGACATACCTGTACCACTGTAGCTGTACCACTATAAGATCTCTTGTGTAGCCACTCTACGCCAATGGGAGGCAGCTCTCCCATCAACATAATTAAACCACCCCTAATGAGTGGTGGTAGCTATGTCAGCAGGAGAAGTTCTGCTACTGACTTAGAACTGTGCATATTGCCACTTATGCTGGTGAAACTTATGTCCCTCAGGGGGGTGTTTTTTCACACCCCTGAGCAACATAAGTGTTGCCAACATAAGTGGTAGTGTAACATGGCCTCATGTTGTTAACACTTCTGACCATTAAGGAACCCATGCCATCGTTTTGCAATATTAGAGGTGTAAGCCCCAGTGTCCTGGTCATATTTGAATTTAGGTGTAGTCCCCTTGCATTTCCAGTTGGATATGGTATTTATCCTCACTTATCATCCTAAAATACAGTACACCGCTAAACAGATGCCATATTTCACCCTAGAGATGGCTCCATGTAGAGTGAAGTAATTCCTATAGGTAGCTTGAACAAGCAGTAAAGTTTGTAAATGCTTTGAAATCCATTTGATGAAAGGTGTGGTATAAATTTAAGATCTTTATGATCATGCATAGGTATTAGGAGAATTCTAAATGCAAATTTTTTGTTGATAAGAGAAAAAATAATAGGGACAGTGAGCCCTGGAAACAGTACCAGCTCAGAAGGAAGAACACTGCCTATTGTATTGCCAACATACCTCTTCCTGCACCACACTGGGTTTCCTGAGGCCCTCCAATCCAAGGTTTGACCAGACCCAACCTTATGAGGTCTGGTGAGCTCCCTGCTCAAGGTGGTGTGATTGCAAGCTTGCCATCTGAGCATTATCCTTATAGCAAAAGCTTTGGAATGCACAAACAACACTCTCAGCTTTGTTCTTTTGTTGTAAAAATGGTTCTGTTCCCAATTGGAGCAGCTTTTCAGCTCAGGCCTCCCCTCCCAGGGCACTGCAGTAATGTATGTTGGCCAACCCAGCCTGATAAGAATATAATGTTATGTATGCTAGGAGGCTAAGTGAACCTTAGGTAAAGAAACAACATTGCTGCATTCTGCAGAGAGAAAAGAAATTCTAATGCACTTGCCCTTGGTTTGTAAAAGCCTACCTACATTTGAAGGTCCTAATGTTGATAGTGGGATGCTGTACGTAAGTGGAGTGCAAACTGTGGATTATTACTGATATCTAACCAAGCCATTCTGTAGATTGTATTATGGAAAATTAGTTTTGTTCAATGATCCAAACCACACACTGCACTACAATTTTGTTTATAAAATGTATTTCTTTCTCTGTACACTATTAAGCATGGCCTATATTACAGCAATGCCCTGAGGAAAATGTGAATAACAGCCATCATAGCTTTAGTTCTCTGAGTGCAGCATAAAGCTGAAAGTGCAGGAGAATCCATCGTTAGAGCTGCCAAGAGAATTTCTGAGCCCTGGGAAGGAAGGAATTAATTTCTGAGCCCTGGGTCCTAGAACTTCACAGCTCAGGAAAGGAAGATTTCCTGTCAACTGGAAGCCTTTGATTACAGTTCTGGCCTTTGAGCCTTATCTGAGGCCTCTCTATTTCTCCCTGCCGCTGCCTCAGGATTTTTTTCCATGATTTCCTCAGACAGCCAGAGCTCCCCAGCCTTCCTTGATGCTCTTATAACATTCATGACTTTCTGCTGGCCTGTTTCAATATTCCCCTGTGCCATCCCTCAGTGAATGTTATGCTCCCCAAAGTCCCTCTTGTAAATTGCATTCACTTCTGACCCTTCTCCAATGCTCTCTAACTCTCCTGTGCCATTAGATACTCACTGATGCTCTACTGACCTCTTCTATGCATCACTAGTCATTTTGGGAGGACACTGAAGTGTTCGTTTTTCTGCCAGAAGCTGGGAATGGGCGACAGGGGATGGATCACTTGATGATTACCTGTTCTGTTCATTCCCTCTGCAGCACCTGGCATTGGCCACTGTTGGAAGACAGGATACTGGGCTGGATGGACCTTTGGTCTGACCCAGTATGTCCGTTCTTATGTGGTGGCATGGAAATAACACGCCCAAAGACAGTGCAGTCCAGGTAAGTGGATGATCCATCAAAATCTTCATTCTGCTTGCAAAGTCTCTGATCAAAGTAACCAGTGTAAGTGCTGCATATATACAGACATTATAGTCATCAGCTAGACCACACATGTGCAGCAACGGGGATAGAACCCAAGAACTTCAGTTCCTAAAGTTCAGGTTTCTACCACTGGTACTTAATGGGGATTTCCATTAGTTATCATTGGTAATAAGTAAGGCAACGATTTAGTCATGGGTATTTTTGATAGAAGTATGGACAGGTCATGGGCAATAAACAAAAAATCACGGCCCATGACCTGTCCATGACTTGTACTAAATATACCTCTGAGTAAATCTTAGCTGGGGGGCTGCTGCTCTGGGGGACACCTGGGGGGGGCAACTGCTCTGGGGTGCCCTTGGGAGGCTGTTGCTCTCGGGGGAGCTGGAGGCCAGCAGCACCCATGGTCTGCCAAGCTATGTCTGCTCCTGCTGCCCCCAGGACCACTTCTCAGACCATTCCCGGGGCCAGCTGCAGTGGCCACTGCTCGGGCGGTCCCCTGGGCCAGCTGCCCGGGGCTGCCCGAGCAGCAGCCAGTGTGGCTGGCCCTGAATATACCAGGTAAGCAAGGAAGTTTATAATGCTGTATTTGCAAATATCTGAAAACCCAGAATGCAGGGAAGCTGCAGTGATGTGGCCGCTTGAGCCCTAGGAGACTGAAGTAGGAAAAACAAAAAAAATACAGAACATATCTCAAAAGAGTTTTGGAAACCTACTATTACATGCATTTAATGCTACAGCTTTCTATGTCATTTACTGCAACTCTGATCTTCCTGTCTTGATACATGCAATTAAACCAGCAATTTAGCTGCTTCCTACTTCATTATTTCATATTTAAAACTATTAATATACAGAGCATTTAAAATAAATAGTTTTGGTTTAGTTATGTTTTACATTGAATCAGGAGATTGTAAATGATTTTCTGTTCCATTCCATTTTTTCTTTAAATACTAAATAGTAGCCAAGGACAAGAGAGAGAAATTTTCTGCGGAGGTTTGAAAAGATGTAGAGAGTCAGTCATGGTGAGAACTAGAGGAACCATATTCCAGATGGCACGAGACACAGAGAAGCCTCTCACACCAGCAGTGGTGAGATGGTATGAAGAAACAAAGATGAAGAGGAGTAAGTATGAAGTGAGGCAAAAGGAACAAGGTGCTGGAGGTGGGCTGGAGCAAGTCCATGGAGAATTTTAAAACCAAGATGGTAATTTTGAATTGCGTCATAAAATGAATGGGGAATCAGTGAAGTTGTTTGAAATGGGGGGCAAAGTAACCACGCTTCTTTGAAGGTGTGAGGGGATGGTGGACTGAAATCTTCTGCACATGTTGGTGTCTGGAGGAGGTACAAGAAAAGGCCATGGAGCTCCAGTGTCAAGGCAAGAGGAGATGAAGACATGGAGGAGGATTTCAGCAGCAGGGAAGTTCAAGCATATGCAAGCAAAAGGTGCAGGAACCTCTTACTCTCAACTGGGAATATGCCTACAATTTTTGTTATCCAGAGGGGCTTTCTCTGGAGAGGCCAAACGAATCCTATAGCAAGAAAAGTGACACACCATCTTCTAACTATCCCTGTGATAGGAACAGCAGTCTCAGCTTTAACTTGTGGCCTTCCCCTGACAGATCTGTACTCCCTCTCACCACTTTCAATGCATGGAATTATAGTTTCCTAGATTGGGAAAGGATGAGACCTAGGGAAAAGGAGGATCTCTCAACCAAGACTGTACTCAAAGGCCTTGGGTCCATTCAAATAATTAATATAGATGTTACATCATTGTGAATAATCAGATATGCTGAGGAGGTCACAGTGAAGAAGAGGCGTTTGAAGAGAGCATTTGTTTCCTAAATTGGGACAAAGGACTATGGGGACTGGGCAGGTCCTAGTCTGCTTTTATGGGAAAGTCTATCATGCATGAATGAGTATAATGGTGAAACGATGGAAAGTTAATCTTTTTATGTGGCTTCTGTTCCAGAAAAATAAAAAGAGAAATGAATTGTAATAACAGTCCTCTGGTTCTATCATATCTGCACCTAATCACACCTACAGGATGAAAAACCATTTAGACAGATGACTAAGGGCAAGATACTGCTCCCCCTGAAGCTAATAAGGCACCCATTTTTAAAAGCTCTGCATGCAAAATGCTTGATGGGTGAATGTGTATGCAAATCTCTGATGTGTGCAAGCTCACTGGCCTTACTTTGTGGGAACTGTTGTAATAATTCATAAAAGAGAGGGAGTATGGTGTAATAATTGGGCCTACAAATTTTCTGTAATTGTGAGCGCAAGTCTTAAAAGTATGTAAAAGTTATTTTCTTTATCTTTAATAGAAGGTTAAAAGGATCTTTAATAGTGTGTTTGCCATGGTACTAAGCAGGCTAAGGTCTCTGTGCACCAAACCCCAAACTTAGTTTAACACTGTTTAATGATGGACAGTAATTATGTTGACACCGTTAGCCTATATTCCATCTAAAATAATGCAACAGAACCACCTGTAAATCTGCCAAGTCTATTGGTTTTTTTTGTAGATAACAGATCTTTGGGCTTTCTTACATGTCTGCAGGGAAATTGAAGCAATCTGCTGGTTTTTCCCATGCCAGGCTTAGGCGTTTTATGTGTGGGGAATTCATTTGAAACCAGAGAGTGATCTAGGAAATAGCCCTGTCAGTAACGTGTATCCAAGTCATCTGCTCCCTTCGCTTTTCTCATAATTTAGATTAACCAAATCTAGATTCACTGGATGATCACACAGAGAAATCTAAACAAATATTCTCCCCCTCCCCCCTTTTATTAAATATCCACATTTTTTAGACTTGTCATTTAATCCCCTTCAAGTTGAAAGATGCTATCAGAATTTCTTGGGCCTACACCTCACTATTCAGATTCCCTGAGGTCAGAGAGAAAAGCTTTTGCAAAAATAAAACAAAAACGAAATGGATCTTTTGGATTCCTCCCTTTCCCTTGTACAACCATAATCTATTATTACTATTTTGGCTTTGAACACAAGTACAATGCTGTTGAGAACTGCTTGACATTCTATATTTCCTATTCATAGATTTTAAAGCCAGAAGGGACCATCCTGATCATCTAGTCTGACCTCCTATATAACATAGAACCTCACCCACTAATTTCTGCATCAAGCCTGTAATTTCTTTTTGAGCTATAGCATATCTTTTAGAAAGTCATCCAGGCTTGATTTATAGACTTCAAGTGACAGAAAATCCACCACATCCCTAGGTAACTTGTTCCAATGCTTAATTATCCTCACTGTTAAAATTGTGTCTGATTTCCGGTCTGAATATGTCTAGCTTCAGCTTCCTATCATTGGATCTCATTCTACCTCCTTCTGTTAGACTAAAATAGCCACATACTATCAGAAATCTCCTCTTCTTGTAGGTACTTGTAGATCACAAGCAGGTCACCTCTTTAACATAGTCTTGGATAAATTAAAGAGACTGAGCTTCTTTAGTCTCTCACCATCAGGCATGTTTTCCAGACCTCAGATCAATTTTTTAGCTCTTTCCTGAACTACCTCTAATTTGTCAACACCCTTTTTGCAATGGGGACATTGCATCAGTGGGCAGAGTATTCCAGTAATGTGTCGCTACTGCTATATAGAGAGGAAATATACTTCCCTACCCCTACTGATACGTCCAAGGATTACGTTCACCCTTGTAGGGTGTTGCTGCACAGCAGCTGGGAGCATGCTCCCTGGCATGGGCAGACAGACGCACGCTAACTCTGCTTGAGCTAGCACACAAAAAATAGCAGAGTGGCTGCAGGGGCACAGGCAGCGGCTCAGGTTAGCCACCTGAAAACAAAATCCCTACCCGACCTCCTGGGTAGGTACGCAGATGGCTACCTGAGCCACTGTCCATGCTGCCCTGGCCATGCTGCTATTTTTAGTGTGCTCGCTCAAGGAAATTAATGCATGTCTGTCTGCCTGTGCTAGGAAGTGCACTCCCAACTGTGGTGTAGACATACCCTTGGCTACAGCATTGCACTGGAAGCCCATGTTGAACTGGGTTATCTGCTGTGACCCTAAAGTCCTTTTCAGAGTCACTGCTTTCCAAGATCCAGTCCCCCATCTTGTAAGTGTGACGTACATCCTTTGTTCCTAACTGTAGGACCTTGCATTTAGCTGTATTAAAATGCCTGTTTTTCAAATGATCCAGCACTTCAGATTGCTCTCTATAATTGACCTGTTTCCTCATCCTTATTTACCACTCAATCAATTCTTGTGTCATCTACAAACGTTACTAGCAATGACTTTATATTTTCTTCCAGTTCACTGATAAAGATACAAAGTAGCATTGGACCAATGACACATCTCTGTGAAATCCCACTAGAAACAACACCATTGAAGGATTATTCCCCATTTACAGTTATTTTTTGTTATTAGTCAGTTAACCAGTTTTTAATCCATTTTCTATAGGCTGCATTGAATTTGTATAGTTCTATTTTTTATCAGAATGTCATGAAGGACAAAGTCAAATTCTTTACATAAGTCTAAGTATATTATGTCAACACAGTTACCTTTCTCAACCAAACTTGTAACCTCACCAGAAAATGATATGAAGTTTGTTTGACAAGACCTTCATTCCATAAACCCATGTTGATTGGCATTGAGTATGCTACCAACTTTTAATTCTTTACTGATTGCATCCCATGATTTACCCGGGATCAACGCCAGGCTAACTGGACTATAGTTTCCCAGGTCACCCTGTTTACCTTTTTTACATATTGGCACAACATTAGGTATTTCCCAGTCTTCTGGAACTCTCCCAGTGTAATAAGATTTCTTACAAATCAACATTACTGGTTCAGAGAGGTCTTCAGCCAATTATTGTAATACTCTTGGATGCAAGTTACCCAGTCCTACTGAGTAAATATGTTTGTTTAACATTAATAGTTGCTGTTTAACATCTTCCCTAGTTACTGCTGGAATAGAAAGTATCTCATTATCACTGTAAGATATGACTACATCATCCTGCTTCTTTCTGAATACAGAACAGAAATATTTATTAAATACTTATGCCTCTATCTAACACTTTGTAGGTTAACTAAGTGAAGCACTGGGAGTAATACAAGCATACCTCCACAATGCATTTTAAAATTTGGACGTTTACATTCATTTCTGTGTGTGTGTGTGTGTGTGTGTGTGTGTGAAATCTATCAAACTCTAGGATCGCCACAATTGCAGGTACCTCCCCATATTTGGGTTTTGTTACAGCATAACTGTAAAATGGGAAGGCACCTGATTGTGATGGCTTGCACCTTAATTATGCACATATATGCAAATTTCAATCTCGTTTTCTGTTACAGAATATTTTCAGGTTTATAAGCATCTCACATTGTGCTTTGACATTCTGCTATTGTTCATTTAAGATTATTGCTCTTGCATCAACCACACATCTGGTTATGTTACTCTGAAAACTCTAGTGCTGAAATATGTAGATTTGTAAGAACTGTTAGCTATGCTTGCACTTATTAGCAAGAACATTTGGGTTATGTTCTGGGACACCGGGAATTAGGCCAACCTGCTGGGAGTTGTGGGATATGTGGGGACTGCCTTCTTATTGTTTGCTTGCTAATCTGTTTAATGTTTTATTTGCTTTATTGATCATACTTTTTTCTTTGCCCTTCGTGTTTTTTTCGACAGGAGTTCATATGTATCCTAATTTACGAAATGCTTAAGGTGCTGCATAAACTACACTCTCTTTAGTGAAATCATTCTTAGAAACAGGGTGATACACATTGCGCACATATGCTGATGACAGCTGAAGGCACTGTGAAAAAAACAAACAAACCCCACTAGTTGATTACTCAAAATCCTGTTGCCAGTGACCCCACAACATGATCAATACTGTAACAGTAGCCACTACTGTTAATGGATACTGACCCTGTTATATGACTGGGGTATTAACCTTTGTAATTCAGACACAGGTCAAGTGACTGGAGCCCAGGATTAAAGTTCAATCTCTTACCAACACTGGCATGTATTGCAACCTTATTATAAATACCACCCCCACCAACAGACCCAGGTCCCTGGTACACATCAGCTAGAACCATCTAGTGGAATAGGGGTAGGCTTGACATTTAGCCACTGCTATTACAGAAGGGTGGGGAGTCAGGACAGGTTTAATTTCATTGTAAAACATAAGGGCATATGGCAAATTCATATTACGTATTAAAAATGTAATGGGGAAGGAAGGGGAGGGGAATGATCAGACCTGAATGGGTTGATATCCCTTCTTCTAAGCATTTACCACACAGAGGAGGGGACATTTAAATTGTGGGTAAAACTGTGTTGAAACAAACCAGCAGAGCTCCATCAGGGCACAGGAGTTGATGGAAACACACCACTAATTGATTATAATAGAAATACCCTCTTCCCCTAAGAAAACTGTGTAATATATGTTCTTCTTCAGGCTGAAAGAGAGCAGTGCCCTTTCACACCACAAGAACCATTTCATATAGCAGCTGACTTATGTATACTGTTGGCATTATGACTGGGTAGCCCATGACCTCTTTGTAGCTCTGTGAATGGGTTTACTCCTGTTTTGAGAGATGAAATCTGGACATAGCCTTAGCTCCCTATAAATCCAATGTTTATAAACTATCTAGTCACCTGCCTGAGAACTCAGGGTTACCTAAGAAGGAAGATGGCTCCAAACAGGCACCGGGTAGTGGACCGCGGAAGTTGTTATACAGAAGAATATTAAGGGAGAGCGAGCCAGCAGTTAGTGTCAATGACACCACGTGCCACATGCAGTCTCCTCTACTCAATCAGGTATGAAACCCAACTGGGCTGAACAAAAATATTTACAATTTGGAAACTTAATGCCTTCCTTTGACCTGGGTGTCTGAAACCTTTTAGGTGAAAAGCAAGGCCTCAGGGAAACTAATAAATTCATGTTTTTTTCCAACAGATGGACTGAAAAAATTAGATTTTAGACTAAATGGGTATAAAAGATGGGGGTGGGGAGGATATTCAGTTTAACA